GGGGAATTCTGGGAGTTGGAGTCCACACATCTTAAAGTTCCTGAGGTTGAGAAACACTGCTCTGGATAAACAGTTTGGTCTTTAGTTGAATTCCATAACTCGGGCACTTGAGGCCAAATGTCTGATAAATGCAGATTCTTCAAAAGAGCTTCCCTATTTGATGTTACTTTCTGGAGAGGTACATATGGAAAAGATGACCAATAAGATATCCAGGACCCGAGCCACATAGGGATTTTTGTCATTACAAGTAGCTTGAACTTTTCCTGGTAGCACAGAAGCCACCAGCACAGATCCTTCAAAACTGGTAAACTGTTTCTAAGATAGGTTGTCCCTAGAGATGTGGACTATTCAGATCTGAAGCAGGCAAAGGTACTTCAGCTCCAGCACGTTCTTCCACTATGTATTTGTCAGCAACTCCTTCATATTGTTTCCTGAATTCACAGGGTAGCTCTGCAGGCTTAGGAAAATACTTGATGAAGTTCAGGTGATGGTTGAGAAGACATTATGGAGGCAACAACAGAGTGAAACTCATTTTTTGCTGCCCTATTGGCATCTCCTTAGCCTCTTTAACTCAAGCACATATTTTGCTGAGCCTACATAGCTACCATGCAAGCCCAGACTAAACCAAAGCCATTAGCACATTTTCCTGATTGTCTTTCATATCCATCACCTCCTTCTCTTCCTATTTTTGACAAGAACTTCAGACTTCCAGAAAGTAGAACAAAGCAGAGTTCCACTATCTTATTTAGAATAGAATAAAGGTCATATTAGTGCTGTTCAGCTTTAACACTATTCTGAAATGACGAGATCTCCATTATTCTATTTGGGAAAGGAGAGGGAAAGTTTTGCACTGCTCTGTTTTATCACTATTCTGAAACAGAACTTTGTCTTTAGATAGCAGCAGCCCTGCATTTCCTCACTGCAGTGTCCAGAAAATAATGAGGGATGGTGAGCTGGGATGCTTTTCTTTTGTTTGTTTGTTTGCTTATTTGCCACTTTCCCTGAAGTTGTCAGTTTCAACCATGGATGCCCAGCAGTTAGTCAGTTTCAGTTCTCCTAATCCACAGGACCTAACTACAGATAGTTTTCAGTTAAGGACAGTAATTGGGACCTCAGTGAAGAATGGTAATTGGGATAGGGAACTCCATCACTAAGTCATGAAGTGTGACATCACATGACTGCCCAACTTAAGACAGAAGTTCCATCAGTTCCAGTTACCATCATTAAGCGAATCCCACACAGCCGTTAAATATGATGTCACATGATTGCCATTTGCAACCTCCTACTGGCATCCCCGTCAACTTTGCTTGTCAAAAGCCAGCAGGGAAGGTCACAAATGGTGATCACATGAACATGGGACACTGAGACCATCGTAATTGTGAGCCAGTTGGCAAGTGCCTGAATTGCAACCACAGGGATGCTGCGATGGCCACAACCTCAAGGACAGGTCTTAAGTCTCCTCGTTCAGTGCTATCGTAACTTGAATAGTTGCTGAACGAATGGTCATTAACCAAGGACTACCTGTTGTTGCACAATTATGGCATGGCCTACCTCCTTTTTCTCTGGGGCTGATTCTGCCCTGGTGTCTTCCCATATGTTTCTTTCTTAACATTATTTGAATCTGAGAAGTGCTAAAATGAATTGTGGGAAGAGAGGCAGACAAACCAGCCTAGATAAGCCCAAGTAGAATTCTGAAATCAGAACATCTCAATTTTCTTGTAGTGCCTTGATTAATGGGTGCTTTTCCTGATGACTGGTGATATGCTGAAAGGGCACTGCAGCCAAGCCAGAAGAGAAAGCCAATCACCTTGCCTATACACCTTGTGTATTCATTAATATCTCACATTTACTATCTTTATAGTGAGAAACATGGCACTGCAAGGAAGTGATAGCATTTTCTCAAGAAAATAGACATAGTGCCATAAAGAGGATCTATGACATTATGAATAGAGTAAATGATAGATAGATAGATAGATAGATAGATAGATAGATAGATAGATAGATAGATAGATAGATAGATAGATAG